ATGTATGTATGTATGTATGTATGTATGTATGTATGTATGTATGTATGTATGTATGTATGTATGTATGTATGTAATGTATGTATGTATGTATGTAATGTAATGTAATGTAATGTAATGTAATGTAATGTAATGTAATGTATGTATGTAATGTAATGTAATGTAATGTATGTAATGTAATGTAATGTAATGTAATGTAATGTAATGTAATGTAATGTAATGTAATGTAATGTAATGTAATGTAATGTAATGTAATGTAATGTAATGTAATGTAATGTAATGTAATGTAATGTAATGTAATGTAATGTAATGTAATGTAATGTAATGTAATGTAATGTAATGTAATGTAATGTAATGTATGTATGTATGTATGTATGTATGTATGTACGTATATATATATATATATGCGGCTGTGCAGAGAGAAGTTGAACACAACGTCATTCAGACGGGAATATCCTTTCAGGGATCACCTTTGTCATGCCGTGGGATCAACCGGCATGTGTTCATTGGCCCCCGAGAATAAAACGGCCGGGATGTGGGGCCTTAGCGGGTTGGGCCTTTCTTGCTCCGAAAGCCAGATTTCCTGAAAGTCAAGGTGAGTTACCAGGTGTCCTCATATTTGGAGTGGCCTTTGGGTCCTCTCCTTGGATCCTTCACTCGGCCCTCCGGTTTTTCTGGTCACACCTCGTGCGCCGCAGTTCGTTCGTTCTCCTCGTCGGGGTTGCGAATTGCCCCGGCCAGTTGGGTGAAAATCCTCGTGAACCTTATCTACCGCTGCGGCCTCGAGAAACAGCACGACAGATGCTGCGGCATTGGAACGCTCAGATTTTAAGCAACGTCCCATTCGTCTTAGGCGGGTTCCAAGATGCGAAAAGTGATCGATTCGCGGCTAAAGTGACGCCTGCCGTTTTTTTTTCGAGCCATTTCTCGGGAGCGATATGTTCAGCTTGCCGCCATCATGAAGGCCTGTACAGATTGCCGCGCAGAGTCCCGCCGTGGAATTCAGCGTTAAGCCCCTTTCGGGAGCAAGAGATGTGTAAGTCAGTGAAGTCTTCTTGCTATGTGTCTGACAACGCGGATCCGGAGCCACTCTGTTTTTCAGTTGAGGCTTGCTTTCCGTCATGCAAGACGGCCTCGCCTCCATCGGCGAGGTGATTGGCAGGTGCATCCGCGTTTCGTGCCAGGAATCGGCGTGCAATGGTTGGCTTCCTTCGGTTTCCCTGAAACCAACGAAACGAAACGGCGGCCCGTTTTGAGAACTGAGATGTGGGTGACTTGCAAGGCAGCCAACTCGAGTCTGTAAGATGTGGGCTTGCGGTTCTCGAGGCTTAGCCCGAGGCTTAGCGGGACTCGGAAGCATTGCTACCTGACGACAACTAGCCAAAAGGCTGTCGTCTGAAGTCTACCTATATGTTGATGCTTTAGGATGCGTAGCGAGAACACATGGCCCTCAATCTTCCCTGGACTGCCTCTTGTAGCGATGCCCTGTCAGGTCGTGGAGCGAAAACGTGGTGAGTCGGGGTTCTGGACTTCGATTGCCACATGCGGGTTGGTTTGCGGGTGGAGCCTCAGGTCCCAGCATCTGGCAGCTCTCAAGGTTGACATTGGGCCTGTAAAAATATCAGGTGTCGACACCGCGCCTTGTGCAGCTCGATCCCTCTTTTGCGGGTCCGTCCGTTTCTTGCCCTCCTTGCCCGCCCTTCAGGCCCCCGCGCATGCCGCTCTCGGAGCCAGAGCCTCCGGCGGCACTGCTCTGGGCGGCCGGGCGGCCCAATGCAGCGGGTCAACTGATAACTGGGTAGGTGGCAAAACCCGCTCGAATGGCTGGATTGCTTGCGCTTTGCCGTGAATCCAGGATGTGCTCCACACACACGCACGCACACGGACACACAGACACACACACACACACAAACAAAGACACAGGCACACAGGGACACAGACACACAGACACACAGACACAAAGACACACAGACAAACAGGCACACAGACACAAAGAGACACAGAAATACAGGCACACGTAACCACGCAGCCTACACACCCACATACCCACATACCCACACAGCCACGCACGCACCCAAATGGCTGTGGCTCAAAACGTGTACCAAATGCCCCCCCCCCCCCCCACCAGCAGACCGAACCAACAACTTCAACCTACGTACCCCTAGCTCTTCAATCCTGAGCAGCACCCAAATGCCTGGGCTGGGCAAAACAGGGTTTCCCCAGGTCATTCATTGCCCAAGACCAGGAGTCAGGATCCAAATGATTTAGCAAGGAGTTCAGCATTGGTTGAGGGTCCGGCTTTTGCGTTTGATCCTTTGCTTATAAAGTAGGTGCTATCGCACTAAGACCTGGTTCCAAGGATCCCTGCCAGACTGTAGCGCATAGCATTTCGAAGGATTTCGAAGGAAGGTCCGGGATGGCCCCCGCGGAAGGTTTTGGATCTTCCGAACTTTCCCGGCGGTCCCCAAGATGTTGCCACTTCCCCTTCGACCCATTTGCCATGGGGAAGAGAAACGGAATTCGTTGAATCCCCCCTAACAACCCTTCCTTTGAAGGTTTCCTTTTTGGTTTCCCTCCTGCCTGAAAGAGTACCCTCAAAAAGACACCCATATGCCTGACGGGGGCCTGTTGGTGTGTCACAGGTGGACCTCTGCATCCTCAGCTGCGTCTTGGCCCTTGGCTTCATGGTCTGGGCGTTCATGAATCGGCCCGAGGAGGAAGAGGACCGCAGAGTTCCGGAAGCAGGTCCAAAAGGAGAGCTTGTTTCGTTAGGCAAGGCTTTTTCTCGATATTTTTTTTGAGACTTCTCTTTTCAGCTGGACACATTTCTATGGTTTGTTTCTTAATTGCCGTAGGCAAACTGGGCAGGGGTTTCCGGTCTCTGGAGTTCTCAAAATGGTTCACAAACGGAGAATTACATCTGCCAAACAAAAACTCTTTGGGAGGTTGTGGCGATTGTTAGGCGGAAGGGTTGCGATGGTTGATGCAGTGGTCGCCTCGAATTTCCTTGGGCTGGCCTTGCTCAAGTTGGTCTGGCCCTTGTGAGTGTCTCTCCTCAAGTCTCCAGGAGCCCAAGATGGAGGGCGAAACCTTTGGAGAACGATGCCTGGCATTGATTTAGGCACTCGCATGCCGAGCTTGCAAAGGGCTATTTCTCGGAGTATGCAACTCTGGGTGTGGTCTAAACACATTCATGTTCGCTGGGCATTTCCTCTTCTTGCTTGGGCTTGTGTTCTGCCTCCGCTTTCTTTGGCACTCGCATTTGAGGGCACCGGCTAATCCACTGTTGGGCTCATCGCGTTCGAATCCAAGATGAACAAGTGCAAATGAACATTACGATCCGATTTCCCAGGGTCCTCTTATAGGTCCTCGTTTGATGGTTCTAGCACCACCTCTTAGCTGCGTTCTGGTGGGTGATGCTTGAAGGGAAGAATAGGGAGCCCGGTTTGGATGAAATCCTGAAGCCTCGCAGCTCAGGAATGCTCACCCGCTTCCGCGTGGTGATAGTCATGGTGCTGTCAGCTTCCAAGACGCGCGGGTGAGGAAATGGGCACACGTCCCCTTTTCAGCTGCTACCCAGCGCCGATGTTCATTGGAAGCAGAATCTTCTAGATGTGCTCAGAAAATGATGTAGCGAGTTTGCATTGTTTGCATCGCTTGGACAGTTTCGGTCAGTTTCTTAATTCAACCCCCAGCTTGACACTGATTTCAACCCTAAACTATGGCAGGGTTAATTGCAAAAGCAGAAGCGCAGTGAAAAGGGTTCCTGGGAATGTGAGTTAGGCCAGGGCATTACCCTGTTATCCGAGGGAGTCAGATCCACCCACAAAGATGCCCTGTGCTGTTGCAGCTTCTTTTCTGGAACGCTTGCTTTCATGGCTGTTTGCCACTCACGCGCGCCTGGCACGGTTCTTTGCTCGGTCAGCTTTGGCTGTATCAGGGAGGGAAAACTCGAGTGCTATAAACAACTAAATGACACATGATTCTCTACTAAGATGGCTGAGTAAATGCTGGCATATCAAGAAACTGACCAATGCAATGTTGCTTGCTGCTGTCTTGTTGCCGTTTTTCGTACGGTGGCTTTGCGCATCGCAAAAAAGAAAAGAAAAAGATGGGCTGAGTATGGCTTGAAGAATATCCCCCAAAGAAAGCTTGGCCCCAAACACCACCCTTCGTGTTCGGGGCGGGCCGGTTTGGGATCCGGACCGATTTGATTTTTTTTTGGTACTCCGTTCTGGTTCATTCATTCAACATTTGGGCATTTGAGCAGGAGAGTTTGGTCCAGGCATTTGGCGTTTGTGCTTTTGGTCCATTTTGGCGTTTGGGCATTCTGGTTCATTCAACAAGTGTTTTGCTGAATGGTTGATTGAGATGCGGTTCGGCCGTGGAGCTTGGCTCGGGTTTCCCAAAGGCGGCTCGCAAGTCTCGGACGCTCTCAGGTCTGCGCTGGGCGGAGGATTTCTCAACGCCTGGCCTTCAGCTGTGAGATCTGTGAGGTGTGTGAGTCTTTTTGTGTTGCGCGGTGCTACGCGGTGCTACGCGGTGCGGTGCTGTGTTGTCAAGCAAAAAGAGAGCTTCCCTTCTTTTTGAATACTCAGCCCGGACCAAGTTCCCGGACTCAAGCCCCGAGGCTGCGGAAAACCAGCAGGAAAAAAACACGCACTGGGTTAGAAAGAAACGCCGTTGAGATTACTTCCCGGAGATTGCAGGATTGTGGGACATGCTATCGACTTAAGTCCACAATTTGTCTCTTGTTCTAGATATGTTGGCATGCACGACCGACGGCGTATGTACCTGGCCTACTTGTCCGGTTGCTTTGGGCCTCAAAGTCGGGCGATTGTTCATGGCCCATGAACTCATGACGGCTCCAAACGTAATTTGAATGGTCAACTCCAGACTCTGGGCAAAGGCGGATACACCGTTCAGCACCAGGATGGGGTCTTTGCCAAGGTGGAAGGAATTGATTGCTCCAATTCCACAGGGCCATTTTTGCGAGCTCAAGTGGCTCTCGACAGTCGATACAAGCTGCCATGATTTTTTTGGTTGCTTGTGAGTACAGTCACGTGAAGGGTGCAACACCGATGGTTCCTTGGGGCGATTTGAACCGCTTTGCCTCTATGTTTTGGCAAAGGTCAAGAGCTCCGTCCACTCCGCGCTCTTCCTGGGCCTTTAGCCAGGACTGCCAGAGAAGACTCGGGGCGGGCTCAACAGTTCGACGTTCCAACGTCCCCTTTTGATTTTGAAGCAGCAACTTTGGGGCAGATTTAAAGCCAGCTTCCATGGCAATGCCTTGGGATATTTATTCAAGGGCTGTCACGAAATTCCGAACAGGTTCCACCTCGTTCCCTCAAGGGTCGGGTGCCCCCCCGGCTTACCCCATGGGATACAGGCGCCTTGGGCCCCCACTACCGATAGGTCGATGGTCTTTTGAGTCACGCGATTCCCAACAGTTTTCCCCTTCCTACGGGCTCAAAGCCCCGCACTTGGCATGGGAGACGGGCACTTCCCAATGCGCCAGGATGAGCTCTGAGCGGCATGGGAGGCCCAAAACCCAAAGCCGCGTGGCTCTTCCAAGAGCCCGAGCCAAGCTCCAGTGATTTTTTTTGGCTAGTTCATGGCCTTTTCGCGAACCACGGGCAAGGATCATGAGGATGGTAGGATGGTAGGGTTGTGAACTCTTCACAATTGAAGGGGTGAGAAAAAGGTCAGTTCTTGAAGGGGAAAGAGAGAGCTGGAGAGATTTTCAGCAGTGAATAACTTGAGGCTTAACCAACTTGGCAACTGTGAGAGGGGGCAGGGGCAACAGTACTGACATCATATGACACGAATGGCCCTTTGCCACTGATATCAGCGGGCGACGTTCTGTGTGAAAGGATGATGACACTCCAAGCATTTCACTCTGATCAGAGGGAGAAGGTCAATTGAAACATGTTGCTGGTCCATTAGAGAGGCATGAGTTCCAATGTCTGATGTCCTGTGTGTTCAGACGTGGCGGCGAACAAGCAAAATAGGCCTAGACGCGGCTGGCAATGTGTGGTGCAGCCCGGTGAGTGGACTGACTGCCCTTTCATCATGCTCACAAGCTGAGTCCTCGCGGCTTCACTGCAGACTGTTTACAAGTGAATGGCGCTGCATGCTGAGTTCATGTCTCCTTGTGCACCTGAAAGCCATCAAGTCAGATTCATCTCACTGACTTTGCGAGTCCCCTTGCAGCATGATCGGCCTCTTGTCCTGCAAGGGTGACACATGGCTGGGTTGATGCTGTGGATGGACAACATCTTGCACAGGTGTTCAGGGGATGAAACCCCATCAGTACCGTCTTGTGCGGGATTTTGTCGATTCACAGTATGTTGCAGTTTCCTCAGCAAGTTTGATCCAGGCAGGCTTGGGACGGCCCCGAGCATCACAACATCTGAGTGACCTTGACAGAAAGCTCCCACCCAGTTGTTTGTGCCACCTCGTGCTGATTTTACAGGGACTGACGGAGTGGTTGTTTCAGCCGGAGATGGGGCCAAAGATAGTTCGCTGTGGGTCAAGAATTGGTACCCAGAGTGGAATCCTGGTGAATGGAACCAAGGACTAAAACCTGCGGTCCCATGGTGGTTTAATTTTGACCCATACCCAGTTCATGCTCACTTGGAGCACCGCAAGCAGCGCCGCTGTGCTTCCCTTCTGGGAAAGACGGGGTTTGGCTTTTAGACTCGGGCGCTCGACAGGAAACGTCTTCAAGATGAGAAAACAACAATCTCCAAGTCTCCAAGCTGCACTTTGGCTGTTTGCCCAGGTGAAGCCAAAGGTTCCAACTGGGGTGTTGTGTATGTGCCCTCACCACGTCAGCGCGTTGACAAATGTTCTTCTTTCCTTGGACTGCTGCCACAAACGGTGTTTATTTCCTGCTGCAAAGCTTGAGGACCAATCCTGGCGAGGTCCCAGCCAACCCACCCGTTCCAGACAACACCGCTAGCTTTTTCAGCAATGTTCGTTCACCACGGGGCGAACACTGTTGAAGTCTTTGCGCGGGTCATTGGCAGCAGAACCAAGATCAAGCCTTTCTGGCTGGGCTTAGTCAGTCCGATATCATCACAAAAGTGCAAAACGAACGGCAGAACATGGTAATTCCCTGGCAATCGCTACCATTGTCGTTTCACTACCACTTTTTCTAATTCGTTTCACTACCAATTTCCGCTGCCATCGTCCCAAATCGCCTTGCGTTTCACTTTCGCACTTTCAGCGAGAGAGCTGGTGCAGCGGCAGGGGCTTCGATTCGAGGATCGTTAAGCAAGAGGATCGTGTTACGTTTGAAAGTTTGGCAGCAAGCCTTCGAGGAAAGGATGGCATTTGTTTTTTATTTCCGGGAGGTGGGAAATTGGGGGGGGGGGGGCCTAAGTGGAAGTCATGGAAATGCATTTTTTTTGACTTCCGGGAGGTGCGAAACAATGGAAATGCGTTTGTTATTAGTTCCGGGAGGTGGGAAATTAATGTTGGTCCCCCCCCCCCCCCCCCCCCCCCCAAGAAAAAATAAGCTCACACCTGGCACTAGACCACCCCGAAACCTCCGGAACCTTCCTTGAACCTTACACCTGGCCGTCACCAGACCACCCGAGCCTCCGGAACCTTCCTTGAACTCACCACCCCGGAACCTCCGGAACCTTCCTTGAACCTTACCCTGGCCTGCACCAGACCACCCCGGAACCTCCCCAACCTTGCTTGAACCTCACACCTGGCCTGTGCCAGACCTCCGGAACCTGCCTTGAATTAGACCACCCGGAAACTTCGAACCTGACCACCAAACCAACCTGCCTTGAACCTTACACCAGCACCAGACTACCCCGAAACCTCCGGTTCTTTGAGCACCCCCGCATTCTCCAAAACCTTGCTCGATCTTGACTCCACCCCCAAACCTTATTTGGGCTGCGACCGCTGTTGGGGAAATATATCTAGTAATAGTACTCAGGCTCCCCCCCCTTTTGTTGCCGGTTGCTCTTTGCTTCGGCCTTCTAGGTGCCAAATGAACGTAGACCCCCCCCCCCCCCGCCCCCGCTTTAAAAATGGCTTTGTGTGCAGCCTCAAGTTTTGGGAGTGAAGCCTTGGCTCTGCCATGAGATCACGGCCAGACATCCATGAACACATCTAAGATGGTTTTTGCACTCTCGTTCCTTAGCTGCCCCCATTGGCGCGGCCTGGGCTTCAGGCGCTGAGAATCAGGTGCTGTCCATGCGCGGTGCGTTGCATCTTCGGGCTGTTGGCAAATATCTGGCAAAAGCCGACACGCCACGATAGGCGACCTGTCTAGCTCCTTGTAGATCACGTTTCCAGCTTGTCTCATAGCGAAGTGTGCTCTAACCTTGCACAGTTTGGAACATCTCTAAAGGTTCAGTCTGTGATCGAAAACCAGTGCGTTTGTGTTGCAAGTCCCTCACTCTTCCCCCCTGCCGTGCCGCGCGCTTTAATGCTTCAAGATGCATTTGGAGATCTGCAGTTCCAAAGGAGGAAGTTGTGTGGCAGGCGCCTTTTGGCGAATCCACCAACTTCTCTCAAGAATTTGCCTCTCGATGCTCGATGTCAATGTGGGATGCGTGTGAGAGCTGCTCCTTGCAACCAAGAAGGCTGCGTTCGGAACCTTTCTTATACTGTGTGTGCCACTAACTGGAAAAAGCTACCCATGGTCAGTTTGGGGCCAGGAATATTGATCAACCCCCTAAAGTCAGATGATGAACTTTAATGACTTTCTTTGCCTTCTGCTTGCGTATGCAGCCCACGCGCATCATCCTGACGTAGATCGACCCACAAGCTCAACTTGTAGGCCGATTGTGTCCTTTCATCAGGTGCATTTGATTCAGATCAGGCCCTGACAATCCGACGAACCTTTTTCCTTGCTTTCTTGCCCAGCGCGGCTCAATTCTGAGCAGAAAAGTAGGGAAGGTTTCTGATGCTGTAAAGGTGTCTTCTGCCATTCAACGATTGATCCTTTTTGGTCTTTGCACGGTGCTTACCGGGAAGAGCTTTTCTGCGCCTTCCACTTTCCCAAAACCAGATGAGCCAATGTTTTTTTTTTGTTTTCTACGCGGGTTGTCAGATGCAAGGTCACCTCTTTGGTGCTTTGCATTGACCCAAACTGTTGCTGGCTGTGTCGGGTCCTATCCACACCTGGGACTTGTTGAGGGTTCTCGAGTATGAAGAGGAGGTGGTCGTTGAACCCTTGAACGGGAAGGAAGGGGCCTTTGTTTCGTCTTCGTGGCGCCTATGTGTGCCAAGGTCAAAGACGATTTTAATTATTTGGTGTTGATTGGGACGGTCATCAACCCCCCCCCCCATCAAGGTGTTTTTACACAACTGTACAAGGGTGCCTATTACGGATACAAAGGAGCCACGACCCAGAGCCGTTCCTACAAAGCACAAAGGCGTTTGTTTCCAAATCTGAAAGGTGTTTCATCGCACCAGCGCGAGCTCATGTGAAACAAATGTCAACAGTGGTGTACTGTGCAGTGCTGGGTAAGGAGAGCGCCAGTGGACGCCTATTCGTGCAACCTCGGCCTATCTCTGGCACGTTGCGACGTTAGACTGTTAGACGTGTGATTTGGTGTTGGAAGGGCTTTGATTTGCGACAGATGAGTCAAATGATAACCACATCCGGTTCATTCGATTGGGCAGGGGCAATGGTGGCTCTGATAATTTGTGTGAGGGTAATGGCAGTAGTTTGTGATGGTGGAATCTATTTTTCTGCAATTTGGGATATTGATTGATGCACTGTTATGGTTAGAATTGACATGGTTTTTGTCTTGGTTGCCGCAGTTGTTTGTTGACTGGAACTCCCCTGATTCAGACTTGTGTTGTAAATTTGATAGGCCAAGCAAGCAGTCAGAGTGTAAGTGCCGTGGGCTTGTACGATGATTTGGACGCTGTGTTATTGAGTGTTCGAGACCTTGACAACAAAAGTAAAAGAAAAAAGACAATGAGACAACCCATCTAATTCAGTTTATTTGCATTTGAACCTTTTTTCAAATAATTGAATAGTTATATGCAGTACTATTTTAATTTAATCTGTATATCTTTGAAGTATAGTTTGAATAAATGCATGACTTGCACATAGCCAAATTTTACTGACATAATAGATTGTTTATTCAAGATTATTATGTAGGACACCATCTTATACATATATACACATATATATATATATATGTACATTTAATGATATAGATGTATGAATATGCAACTGTAGCGAACTGAATTAATGTTCGATATGTGGTTGGCTAATTCTTAGAATGCAGAGTGCTATGGCACTTAGTTTGTTTCTGTCTGTGTTTCAATTCTTTAATTGACATGAATTCATATACTCGTCGTTTCACAGTAGATGAGGGCGAAAGGAGAAGAACAGAGAAAACGAGAAGAAAGGATAAGAGAGGAGGAGAGCAGAGAAGAAAAGAGAGGTAAGCAGAAGTGACTGGTATTTAGATTGCATGATGGGTGTAGCACGTGGGGATAGAAAGTGCTCAAAGTGGAGGCACTCTGAAGCGACGCCTATTCTATTTCGTGGGTGCGGGACGGGTAGGGAACGGATGCGGCGCCAGCCCATTGAAACGGACGTACGCACTTTTCGCGACATGCGTTTGTGTGATAGGTGCAACACTTTCGCATGGTCAGATACAGATTTCCTGGCAGGCGCAGCACTTTTGCAAGATCAGGCGTAGATTTCATTTCAGGCGCAGCATTTCCACAGGTCAGCGGCAGACTTCGTGACAGGTGCAGCACTTGGGAATAGAAAGTGCTCAAAGGCGCGTTTTGCGTAATCGGGGGCGGGGGGGGGAGGGGAAGAGGCAGGACAGACAGGCAGATGGATTGATGGCTGGGAGGATACGCAGATGGCTAGCGAGACAGGCCTCTAGACAGAACGCCGCCGGACAGAAAGAACGGTGCGTAGGCAGACGCACAGAGATATGTATACATTTATGTATATGTGTATCTCTATATAAATATATAGATATGTGATATATTTATATATACATATGTCTTTATTTTTGTTGATATGTGCCTGTAGCTGCCTGTCTGTGTATATATATATATATATATATGTGTTTGAATTTTGTAAAAAGACAAGCACATAGGTAGATGGATGGGTGCAAATATTCTGATTGACCGGCAGATGGGCACGAGATATGGGCTGATGGCGACAAAGAAAGATGTATCTGTCTCGAGCTTCAAGCATTGCAAATGCTGCTGATAGCCCTCCTTTAGTTGCTCCAAACTAACTCAAAGTTTGCTGGATCTCTTGGGCTTTGGCGTGCCCGTGTGCTCATCAGGCACGTGCAAGCTGCCAACAGCACATGTGGCATGCCCACTCGCCAGAGCGCAATCTTGGCTTGCAATCGGTCCTTCAGGGACGCGCTTTTCTCATTTGAAAATATCCAGAAGGACCTTGCAGACTTGAAACTCTGCCCGCCGGCTTTTCCGGCCCTACTTGCATTTTGTGCTTGAAACGTGAGAGGCGACAACAAGGAGTTTGAACACGCGAGTGAGATTGGAAACGCGCGCGCGAGCAGACACTTGCACCGAGAACCTGCAAATAAGCATCGCGGTGACACGCAAGGCACGAAAACAAATTATGCGAGGACTTGCATGGAGAAGCCTGCCTTTCGCAAACAAATGTGTTGAAAATTTGCTCGGGAGGTTGCGCCGATACTTGAAATGGGGAGGCGTCGGCCGAGAGTCTCTCTGGCCTTGGCCGGCGGGCCGGTTCCGCCTAGCCAGCCGACAACATGCCCGGCTTTGCCAGCCACGTGTAGCCGCACCCGGCCAAGCGGTCGGGGAGAATATAATATTCAACAGCAACAGCGGGGTTGTGGCCAATCCTGGATTTGGGGGGCGGGTCCTGGGAAGGTTCCAGGGAGGCTGCGGGATAGCTTTTTCCGTGATGCATCAAGCACGTTTGGCTGCATACATCTTGAGAAACTCCCAGAGATTGAGCTGACCCAATCTTTGCGAGAGGAGGGCCCCTTGTCGGATTTCGTGGCAGGAAGTTGTATTTGCATTCGAGTAGAAGCCTGTCTGCAGCTTTTGGAGCCCCCAAAGGGTGATGCTCCACAAACAAGAGGAACTGCAAGGACCCCAGAATTTCAAGCGGCCAAGCAGGTGTTGACCCTAGTACCAACTTCGGATGAATCAGGAGGAATCCTGCCAAAGAAATACAGTATTACCCCACTTAAAACGAGAATCACCCCTGATTTGTAAGGTCCTCCAGATTGATCCGAAGTCGACGTTCTGAACTCCAGGCATCTACTAGTCTCGAATTGGGACACGCCACGCGCCTGCGTGTCGAGGAACCCGCTGGATGGTCTTCAAAGGGGTAAATGAACTCCCTGCCAGTGAGAGAGATCTTGTGTGTGCCCCACCCTCCCACCCTCCCACCCCACCCCATCCACCCCTTTTGTTTGATGGTTTTACGCCTGAGTGAAAGAAGATTGGCACAATTTCCTCGTGAAAAAGCATACTCTCACCCAACTGCAAAAGAAAAGAGTCCCCAGCAAGAAACACCCATGTAACCCCTGTTCTGTGTAGCATTGGGCATCTCAAAGGCATCCCCAATTTGCCCCTACCACCAAACGTGGCAGGATCCAACGGAGGCGAAAGCACATTGCCTGGCAGTGGCTCAAGTCGACAGCTGCGGACATGGGCCCCCAAACCCGAGATCTCCGGCCAGGATCGAAACAATCACATATACATATATGTATATATATATATATATGTATGTATGCATGCATATACATATACACATTTCTGGGTGTGAATTGTAATGTGGACATCATTTAGGCGGGAATCATGTCCAACAAGAACCTATATGTATATATATATATATATACACATCCAGCAAGTTGGATCGCCTAGGACACCCTTCTTCGGTGTAGAACCACTCCCCAATGTCGAAGCCTCACGAACCCCGCTTCACCTTGGCTGGTTGCCCAACTTGGGGTCAAAGTGGCCGCACCTCGCGCTTCAAAGGTAAAATATGTTCAGATCCAAGTGCCAACCACATGAACTCAAAAGTGGAGCAATCGAATGCCCATCGCATGTTCCGTCCGGCACCCAAGGCCTTTCACCCGCAATTGGGCCTCCACGTCCAAAAATGGCGAGCAACATGGCCCAACCCCTTCAACTGGTCCTCTTCCGCCGGTATTCTTCCCACGTTCAGTTCGCTGTTTTGGATCCCAATTCGGCTCAAAAGGCCTATCCGTCGGCACACGGCCGGATGCTGAGCCTCTTGGCGGTGCCGGCGCTGGTGCTGGGCCTGGGGCTGGCGCTGCGGCGGGTGGCGCAGGCGGCGCTGAGAGCGAGGTACCACGAGAACCGGAGCTTTGTCTTTGAGAACTGGTGCCGTGGACCTTACGGAGGGGGAAAGGGGCGGGTTGGCGGGTTGGGGGATTTGGGGGGGGGGGGGTTTGGGGGTTTGGGGGATTGGGGGATTGGGGGATTGGGGGGGGGGCAGGGGGTCAAATGCGTTCGCGGGGTTTTACAACACTTGTTTTGTTCTCGTCTTCAACGAAGAAGCCGCGTTCCAGGGGTTCCAGTCTGCACGCCTACTAGGCAAAAGACCCGACATCCCTGCCAGTTCTGAGCGAAGATGCTACTGGGCAAATTCACCTCGATGGGTCGTCGCCATGTGACACCCTGACATTTCTGACACGACCCATGAGCACACTGAAGGTCGAGATCACCCGCGCAGCGCAAGGAAAACCAGCTCGCGCAATTTGCCGGGTCTTTGCAGAGGGGTTGCACCTGGGACCCTTTTGAACCGAATTGCCCCGGACGAGTTGGACCCAGCCAGAAGTTTGGGGCGTCCCAGTCAGGTTTGCTGGGGTGGAGAAGGTGACCTTCCCCACCAAGAGCGTGCCATTGGACGCGGAGGTTCGGGCGTTTTTGTTTTTGTTTTTGTTTTTTCCGCCGAGTCCTTCACGGACGGGGGGCTTGCCTCGGGCTTCACTCGGATGGACCAAGCCAGCCTTATCTTTGGGGAACCCCAGTTACTATAGCAAAGCATAGACATCATCGAAATTGGATTCCCTTGGCCCCTACCTTTCTGGGATTGAGTCTTCGTATATTTGCTAGGAACAAGGTACATTTTGTCATCCATCAAGAGCCCCCTTGAGTTTTTGCAATCGGCAGTCTGTGAGGAAGCCTTACTCGTCTTGCTTTTTCTTCGCAACAGCTTGGAGCTGTGGGGTCTCGGGTTTTTGTTGCCTTTGGGGAACCATGATTGCAACACAAATGACTGGCAAAGAAGTGGGGATGCTCCCGCAATTTGGACAGCTGACTGACAAAGAAGTAGAATAGGGGGACTCCCAAACTGGTGGTATACCCTTCGATTTTGCCAACAGGTGCCCTCAGCCAAAACAAACGCCCGAATACACCAAACTTCTTGGAGAAGAGTTTGACTAAAGCTACACCCCGCAGACCGGTAGACATGGGCTTATTGGTCTTCCCATCAATTTTCGATGCATGTCTGATCATGAAAAAGGTTGGCATGCGTCAAAGTAGGTCCCTAAAATGGCGGTTTCCCCTTTAAACCTCCATCACAGGCCAAAAAAAGAAAAAAAAGGGCAGCCTCAAAAAACACAAAATGGTCCCAGATTCCTTGCTGAACCCGCCAGACCGCAGGATGTGGAAGCGCTGGCCCGTGCCAGCGACGACGCCTTGGCGCTGATCCCAGGGCGCAAGGCAGGGAGGGGCAAAGTAGGGATATAGCTGTGGTCAAACCGTTTTGGATCCCATTTTGGGGGTTTTCGGTGCAGCACCCATTTTAGAACCTATTTTAGTGGGGATTGGGATGTTCACTGGGGGGTACGGGATTTGGACCCCTGGCCGTGTTGTCTGCGGCTCATAATGGATATACCATGAGCCATTTTACCGGCTCAGAGAGCTCACTTGTAACATTTGCAGATGGCTGTTGTTCTTTGTGAGGTTCTTTTCGATTGTCTTTGTAGTCGAGTCCCCGCGTGTTAATTTTTGTTTCTGTGTCAATGCTTGCGAGCATTCTTTGTGTTTTTCCTTCAATGAACATCTCAATGTTTGTTGTACGGTTTCGTTTTCCCTCCGTGGCTGTCAATGTTTTTCTTTTCTCCCAATGACAATCAATGTTTGTTGTTCGGCTTTGCTTGTGATCCATGGCTTCTTCAATGTCTAGTTTTCTTTTCCTGCCTTTCGTTGCTTTTGGAGCTGGGGTTCCATGTTTGTCAAGGGTTTTCAATGGCTTTTTCAGCGTCTTTTTCAATTTTTGGTTCTCCGTTCCGGCTTTCGGAGCTGAGTGTTTGTCCCATGGCTTTCTCCACGTGTTTCTTTCTCGTTTTCGTTTTCTCCTCGTTTTTGGTCGGCCGCGCTAGGTGCGGCCCTGCGACGGCTTGCGCCTGGAGCGCCTGGCCCGCGCCGTGCAGAAGGCCCTCGAGGAGCTCTCCGACGCGGAGCTGGACGAGGCCGGTGCGGCGCCGGGGCTGGGGGCCTTTGTGCGGCTCAACTACCTGTCGCCCAAGGCGGGTCACGGATCACGGATCATGGGGGGTCACGAAGAAGACGGGAGAAAAGATGGGGGGAGAAGGGGAGTGGCAGTCGAGCTCGACTTTCTGACGCTGTTTTGTTGAAAATCCTTCTTTTGCTCTTTACCAACTGCTAGAAACAGTTTCCGCCGGTTTTTCCCCCCCCCGGTACTACTTTCCTGCAGTTGGTTTTTGGCAGTCTATTGTTGTTTCTGGTTTGGGCAGGGTTTGTTTGTTTTGTTTTCGTGTTTGGTTCGTTGGTTCTCATTTCTTGAGATTGCGGGGGGTGGTTATGGACCTTCGAGAATTGAGGGAACTGCAGCCATGCCGGGAGCTTCGGCCATGAAACCCGAAACCTTCCCGATGGGGTGAGGGAACTGACCGATCACTAGCACCCCTTAGGGCACTCCATGAACCTCCCACGATCTTGGCGGCCGGACTACTATCCATTCATTGTGCCACTGTCTTCCGGGGTATGGATCGGTCAACCACAAATCTGGGAACAGATGCTCCCATCTCGAATGCTATTTGGTTGGGCCAACCCCCAACCTTCCACGTGTTTGGGTTCCCAGCGGTTTCTTTGCCTTGGCAACAGTTAGCCCGTGGACCGAAGACCATCAGCTCCCACGGGTCCGGGGGGGGGTTCAAGGGCGCCGTAGGACGCGGTGCTGGACAACTTGGAGCAGCTGGGCGCGGCCCAGAAGTGGCCGCAGGCGGTTGAAAGAGCCATCCAGTGGATCCATTTGCATCCAGAGTAAGGATTTGGCCACCATTTTCACAACTTCCATTTGCTAAAAAAAAAGAAGTTTGTATTTTCCCTTGCTGGTTTTATAGGGAATCGATTTCACTACTGGACACATTTTTTCTTTATGTTTTCCAGGGGGCGAAAACGCAAATGGAAGAGTGGATCAAACCCCCAAATGTTTGCCAAGCTGAAGCCAGTTGCGAAGACCCAAAAGTCTATGGGGTCTTCTCAATGGAGGTATACCAAGCTGAAGCCAGTTGCGCAGTGCCAATTCTTTCTTCAACTTTTCTTTGGGAAGAGTTCCGATTCCTTTACAGTGAACCAAGCAAGAAAGGAAGTGAAATCCACTGGGCATCTGAGCAGCTTAAGCCAGGCGGTTGCAAAGGCAAAGTCCAGCTCGGGGTTTGAACTTCAAGACATGGCTCATGAAGATCATGCTGGTCCAACCGAGCCTATTGGGGGTATTGCCCTCCATGCGATGACTTCCGAATGTCCATGGTTTGAAAGAGCCAGGGGCTCGATTTTTTTTGGAGCAAGCCCCAAAGACGCAGAGGCCCAAAGCTTGATTTCACAAGGAGCCCTTTTTGGGTGAACTTTCCTTGGCTCACCTCCCCACAACAGTCCCAAACATAAGACCCCCAGCTCATCCACCACCAACCCAGCCCCCCCCCCCCCCGAACCCTTTTTTGGTGAAAGGCCCGTGGGGCATCCCGGATCCAAATCATGAACTCACCAATCCAAGAGGACCTCACATCTAGGCACCTCAGGGCACCTCCAAACAACCTGAACCCAAGTCCCAATCCAACCCCCAAAAAAGACAACACCAACTCCAACCTGAACCCCGGACTTCTCCCCCGGACCACCTCGCCTCGCCTCGCATGGAGGTCCTGGCCCAGGCGCGGCAGGAGCTGCCCAAGGCCTCGGAGGAGACCCAGCGCGCCACCGCCGCGCTGCGGCTGCTGCTGGCGCTCACGCGGGTGGCCTCAGGCGCCGCGTCCGCGGCCTGCGGCGGGTCCGGGGACCTGGGGTTTGTGGTCGTGTTCGGTTCAGTTGGTTCATCGTTGGCTCCCGAACGCGCTTTTTTGTTTGTTTGTTTGTTTTCTTCATTGCGCGGAATGGTTGGGGTTCAAATCAGCGTGTTTAGTGCCTGGCCTTGTGGGAATAGCCGGTCAGGACAAATGCCCAAGGCGTGGTGCGCAACATGAAAGGGCTTTTCTTTGCAGGGGTGGCTTGCAGGCTGCAAGTCACAGTTCCCTAGGTTTCCGTGCGTCGCTTTGGTTGTTGCCACATCAAGGTGACATTGATTGAAGAGTCTCAAAAGGGGGGTCCCTCCCCAAAACGAAGAGTCCGTTCAAAGCAGCAGGAAGGTGTTTCCGGGGTCCCAGGTTCGTTTCTAGCAGGGGCAACATGCTTCTGCGTTTTTTATGCCATCCGGCTCACGGTTGCTTGTGGGTACCAGGAAACCATCCGGGAAACCCATGTGCAGCCCTCTGAGCAAGGTTGAGACTGTTTGATTCCCAGCCTACGACCCAGCGCTTCAGAAGTAGACCCGAAAAGGGGTTTGGCGCTCTTTTTTTTATGAATTGGATTTCTACCCCAGCCTTTTTGTGTCAACCCGCTTGGGGACGTCACCGGTGCAAAGAGCTAGGGCCTTGCTTGCGCAGCCACCTTTTCAGCCGCCACGGATTCTGTTTTGTTTGTGCCGGAGCAGATGACGCGCCCCTCTGCTTGAACACTGTTTGAGAAGTTTCCCAGATAGGGAACTCCTTTTTATCAGATTTATCAGTAACAGTACCTTTGTTTCACCCCTTAAAAGAAACAGGAGCGACATAATCCTTCGAATCCCCCCCCAAAGGAAAACAACCAAGGGCGAACACGGCGCCCCTCAGAAAACAATGGGGGCAGCCTTCGCTCGTGAGACCCCTAAACACACCCAGTCGCCAGGCGAGGAGGCGCTTTGGATGCTGACGCAGCTCGGTTTTTGGCAAACTTTAGTAGTTTTTTTGGACGCCAAGAGGTTTTGTTTTGGAGGTCCCCCAGTTTTTTTTTGGAGAGGGTTCCCTAAAATGGACTGCAGAAAAAAGTTGGTACCCTTATTCTACCCTCTCTGGGGGGGCGGGTGTTTCTTGTTTTGCGGCTTGGTTTGGATCAAACCGCAGGTCAGGAGATCCTTGCCGATTCTATGGCGAGCTCCTGAGTTGGGGGTATAACGAGCTCACCACGATGTGGGTCCTCTACTTGGGGATACGGGATACTTATGTCAGGTTTTGGACTTAAAGTATTTGCAGATCCCTTTGACTTCCGTTTTTGGGCTGCATACTTGACTTCAATGGTTCCTCTGAACTCGCTTTTTTCGGGCTCCCTTTGAAATACGATTGTTCCTCTAAATCCGCTTTTTTTGGGATCCCTTTGGACTAGACTTTCTCCACAGGTTTTGTGCGAGATCTTGTTTGAAGACTGTTTTTTTTGATTGGAATAGACTTTGTCCTCTGCAGCTGTTCGAGATCCCGTTGCACCAGACTTCCGCTTTGGTTCAAAGGCCTCGCCGCAGGCACAGCCACCGGACCTTTGAAGACTTCTGGCTGCGGCGCCTGCGCATCGACGCCCATTGTCTCCGGGGCACCGTGGATCGCATCCAGGTCGCTCGAGCCGCGATCGCCCGAGTCGCGGCCGAGCGTCGCAATCAATCGGCGGGGGCCCAAAGCTTCGTAGCCAAAAGGCGAGGAGAAGCGCTGGCCAAAAAGGGGGGGGGAGAAAAAAATTATGGCGCCACGGGTTTTGAAGGAAGGAAACACACCAAGGACTTTTCCTTTTTGGTGTGGGCGAAATGGATAGTCCTGGTTGCAGCTTGAATTTTTAGTCATCCAGTGCCATCGGAAGCTCCCAGACGGATGGAATAGCATCTTCGGTGGGAGCGCACGAGAAGGCCACATAGGCCTCTTGAGTTGGATGGTGCCTCAGCACGAGTTGAGCTAAGACCACACCGTTTCTCTTCTTTTGCACAAATCAAAGCCCAGTTGAGACTTGGAATGTTTTTTTTTTTTTGTAAAATGCTCAAAGCCCGGTTGAGACGTTTTGACCCCGTGTGGTTTGGCAGACCCTGGAAGACAGGTACATCAAACACTTTTTGGAGCCAGGGCCCGAGTCGCGCGAGTCGCAAGCATCGCGCATCGCGAGTCGGAACGCGCCGAGAGACGCGTCAGGTGCGGCGTTGGGAGGCGGAGCTGCTGCCGGAGGCAGAGCTGCGGGGCTTCGTGTTCCAGTTGCTCGGCGCTGGGTGGCTGGGGGGTCTATGATTTGTGGATTTGACGGGTTTCTGTGGGGGAATTTGACTCGTTTTTTTTAGTGGGGATTGGAGAAGCTTCTAGACCAGTGGGGGGGAAATTGATTGGTGTTGCTGTTGTCGATTTGGCTGTGGTGGTCAAAACCGTTTGGGGATCCCATTTTGGGTCTTTTTGGTGCACCACACCCATTTTAGGACCTAAATTAGTTGGGATTGGGATGTTCACTGGGGGGTAGCTGGGATTTTGACCCATGGCCATTTGTGGACTTGACGGGGTTTCTATGGCGAATTTGACCTGTTTCCAGTTGGGATTGGTGAAGCTCCTGGACCAGTGGGGGGGAAATTGATTGGTGTTGCTGTTGTCGATTTGGCTGTGGTGGTCAAAACCGTTTGGGGATCTCATTTTGGGGTTTTTCGGTGCACCACACCCATTTGGACCTAAATTAGTGGGGATCGGGATGTTGACTGGGGGTAACCGGGATTTTGACCCATGGGTTTTTGTGGGGAATTTGACCAGTTTCCAGTGGGGATTCCAGAAGCTTCTGGACCAGTGGGGGGGAATTGATGGGGTGGTGTAGGATTTCGCAACAGGAGGTTTCGAGTGATTGTGGAACCAACCCCGAACCAACCCTTCAGCAGCCGATACAAACCAACGTTGCCAACCCTTCCAGAGAATCAACCCAACCCAGTTTAGGGAGTCTTCTTTGTCTTTTTGGGCCCCAGCTGACTTCCTCTATGTTGGGGGTGTTTTCAGCGAGGAAGAAGCTAACGGCGCTTTCACAGTACCATTGCTCTGTGCTGGTGCCACGCTTCGTAGAGGCAGGGTTTTGGGGCGGGGGATTCGCGGGTGCGTACTTGTTTTTTGGGGTTCTTTACTGAAGAGTAGGGATTCCACTGAAGCCAACATGGGCTTTTTTGGGGCAGCTTCTCTGTTTGGTTCTTCCGCAAGAGAAGGATTCCCTTTACGGCTTTTTTGGGGCTTCCGCGGACTAAAGCCCGCGAAATGTCGGCCTGCAAATGTTGCCAGACATGGCCTACGGCATATGGCTGGCCTTGTGTTTCTCCCCTTCATTTTCCGATTTCAGCAAAGAACTGAGAAAATCTAATCGTCTTGGTTGGGCAGGCATGATTTTCGCACACAGGTTATTCGTCTCAGGAACTGGTTTCTTGGCCTAAATTCAAAGCCTTTGTCTCCATCTCTCAGCTACGATGTGCCCACTTTGTGGGCAAAGTGCTTTGCGTTCTGTCGGCGCCACCTACACTCCGATTTCGTATTACTCATGCTCCAGGTTCTTTATAATCAGACATGTCCCCCACCCGAGCTGCCCCCTTCCCAAGATTTCTTCCCCGGGTTCCCCTCATGGACTTTTACCATCTTGAATATTGGTATACCCTTTTCTCAGTACAGATCTGCGATCTCTTCGGCCGCAAGAGCAAAAACAAAACACCGATTGCCCCTGCCTGAATCTTGCATGCGTCCGTGCCCCTAGGCTCTGAAAACATTTGTATCATCTTCGTTGCTCCAGCATTTGAGTACACGCTTCCATCCTCAATTTCGCATCAGGTCAACTTAGTCGGTCATTCTAATCATCTCCACGGTGTTGCTTTTCTTTGTCTGCCTTTTGATTTGGATAATTCGGGCCCGTGCTTCTCCGACGACCTCGGCACGAACGATGCGGTTTTTGAGACCTTTGGTGCCGGCTCTGGGGGCACTGCCCGGGCCGCTCAGGACGGCCTTGCGGCCGCCAGTGCATGGGATGAATTAGATGTTCAACCAGACTGACAGAGGTGTGACAGACAGATGCGAGAGAGCCTGAAACCCCTGACAGAGTCTGACCGACAGCTGTCTGAGACGGCGGCCCTGGCCACACTCCAGCTTTGGCTGGCTAGCCTGCCAGTGGCCGGGCCAGCCACCAGCGGCAGCTCGAGGCGACATTTTTCAGAGCCAGGTTTGCAAGCGCTTCAAGCAAGTTTGACAGCAATTCCCGCCACGTTCCCAAGAACTTTCGTTGTGTTTGTGGGGCCGCTTGGCTGCACAGGGCACGTAATTGCGGCTTCAGAGAGCACGCGCCTGTGCAGCCAGAATGAGGAGGCTGAGCGCCTGGACTTCTTTGCTGAGTTTCAGCTGCTGACAGCCCATGTAGTTGGATCTGGGGGCTACAGATGATGTGTGCTTGCAGGAGCTTGCCCGGTCCCTCGAACAATTGGAATGCCCCACACGGGTTCGGTAACGTCTAAAGCTTCGTTTGAGAAGTCGTGGACTTTGCTGTCGCATCAGCCAGCAGCATGCTTACGCAGTCTTCTTTGCTTTTTTGGTGCCTTGGCTGCAGTCTAGTTTAGCCAATGAAGCTTCTGCGGCGGGGATTGTTCGAAGCAAAGTAATGTTCTTACATTTCTTAGATGGGGATTGCTCGGAGCAAAGTAACGTTCTCAGTCGCCTTTTTGCGACGAAGGGCCGGAACACACAGCTTCCTTTTCTCCGCAAAAATATATTTTGGGCCCAAGCACTGCTTCCCATAACCTCGCTCCCGCCTTTCGCTCGGCTTGCGCCTCAGCCGTGGAAGCGGGCCAGGACCCTGTGGGGACTTTGGGCCTGGTGGTGGACTTCTTCGGCGGGATCCGGGACAAGCTGCCGGAGGTTTCGGAGGGACGTGGGGCACGTGTGTGGGGTGTGGGGTAGCTCAAAGGGAAGCTATGTTTGGGATTGCGATTGGAACACGTAGTTCAATAGGACATGGACTCGTGGACCTAGACGGCCGGAGAAGCCGCTGGATTAGCACTGCTCCCTGAAGTGCGTGTCTTGGAAAAAAAGGGAAAACACTGACCGGAAAGCCGTCGTAAGAAAAGTGGCGCACATGTTGGGGATTTGTTCTAAGTGGTTCAGAGGCGCGTTAATGTTTCTGGAGCAAGAAACCCAAAGCTGGTCATTGGGAGGTCTGCGTGGTGGACTTTGCCTTTCTGCGAGGCGCGCGGCGGCTGGCGCGAATGGGGAAGCCGGTCTCACATGGGGAGGCCTGTTGAAGTGGTCCCAGCTCTCTCGGAAAATGATCTTGTCAATTCCCCAATTTGAAGGTTTCCGAGGCGTTTTTAACATCGCTTCAGAGCCAATTTGAAGCAAGCTTGCTTGAGCCCCAGGGCACTGTTTCAAATTGCAAACCCCCAAACGGATTCCCGCCAAAACAAACCACACACCAATCTGAGCAGCCGGATTGGGCGCTCAACATTTTTTCGACCTCCGGCCCCATCGCCTCCATCAGCTTGGTGGGCCCAAAGTGCCATCGCTTTTCAAAATCAAAACCACCCCCCACCCCCCCAAAAAAACCATTTCAAGACTGGGTCCCTCAAAAAGCTCAAGCCACTTTCATGGAGCCAGACCTATTCCTTTCTTTTTTTGCTCCGCTGTCGTCGTAGGTGGGGGTTTGCGCGTCATCGAGTGCAACCCCTTTGGCCCGGTCACCGGCAGCTTGCTCTTCGATTGGCACAAGGACGCCTTGGTGCTCGCCGGGTGGTGGCCCAGCCGACACCCGATCTTCAGGCCCGAAGAGAGAGGGGAAGAGGGTAATGTGGATGGACGAATCCTGCACCACCTAGCAATCCCTAAAATGATGGTTTCCCTGTAAATGCCAACTAACAACGATTTCCCATGGTTTCCAAGTGGCGCAGGATTTCGTCCATCCACAGTATGGGAGGGGTGGTTCGTTCCTCTTTCAGGAAGCGGCAGGCTTGCTCAGAAGAGTTGCCGTTCTTTTTTTGACTTTCGGGCCCTCTTCAGGTAGGTGACACTCCTTTTTTCTCCCCGGGCCCTCGTGTTTTACCGTTTTACGAACTGGAGTTGGTTTACACCCAGTGCCACCTCGAACAAGAATGCAGTGGAGCGGCTGTGCCAAGTCACCGACTCGGTGCGACTCACCGTTGATTGGAGCAAATCCTGGGGATGGGCTGACAAGCAGGCCCGAACGGCTGTGTGGCGGGAAATTGGCGAACAGCTCTTCGCTGACCCCACTAAGATTGCCGTCAAAAACGCCTCTAAAGATCTTGGTTGCATTTTACACTATGGGAAATGCCATGACCTTCTCGAACAGGTTGACCGGCTAGATAGTGTCTCAGGCAGGCAAACTCTTTAGGCAGGTTGCGGTTTGTCCATGGTTGTTGTTGCGACACATTGTACATTTTTGCTTCTTGTGGTTTAGTGGTTGAAATCCAACCACTTAGCTGCTAAAATCTATATTTTTGCTCCCCTTTTCCAACGTCAACCTGTCGGGATCTTTCCCGGCGTTTTGTGATGGCCTGGGAATTCGGTGGCTTTCAGCGGCCTTTTCATGGAACAGCCTATGGCTGAATTCCGCTCGCCGGCGGGCAGGTTCACAGGTGTCCTTTCTAGTTTGGTGAGTTTGGTTAAAAATCCATGGGCTCCACTGGTTTAGAAAGGGTTTATGCCATTTCCCGATTTCCCGGGGAAACCCATCGATTTTTGTCCAAAAGGCCACTTATGGGCAGGTTGGTGAGTCCGTTTGGTATCGTTTTAGGATCGGAGGGTGGGTTTCGGGGTCAGAGTTCCAACGGGGAATCCAACCCCGCGGCACAGTCTCTGCGCCTCAGCAAGCGGCTGCAATTGGGATCTTCTCTGTGTCAGCTGCAAATGGGGGGGATCTTTTTTCGAGGGTGCCAATTTTGTGGTTGTTTTCAAGGGAAGCCAAGAGGACAACACCATAATTTGTGAGTTCTCTATTTTAAGACGAACCCAAATGCACTTCTTGATTTGTGTGTGTCATGCGCGCGAAAAGCTCAAAAGAGCCTCCGCTAATCTTCTGTATCAATTCACCGCTCGCCCCTACTCCGTAAAGATGCACAAAGCATCTTCAGCCAGCATAGTTAACAGCACGCCGCGAAAATCCGCAGAAGCCACAAGCTATTGTCCTTCCCAGAGGAAAGCAGCAAAGGACATCTCCGCCCCATGTTGGTTTCGCTTCGAACCGTCCAAAGCAGACATGGGTCTGCCTTGTTTTGGGGTACCCCCCTTTCCTTAGGGTTTAACCGTTAAAACCAAAAGGAGGACCAGTGTTTTGGGGGTTCCCCTAAAAAATAAGACACCTCCTAAATCGACCTTTTTTTGTGGTTTCCGTGACTGGAGCGACTTGTTTGACCCCTGCGGTTGATTTGAGTTCTTTGATGTTTGGGGGTGGGGGGTAATTTTAGAGGGTGTTTGCTGAAATATGGGGAGGTTTGGGACCCAGTGGTGGTGGTCGCCCTTTGAACTCCCCTTGAACTTGTCCATAGGCATTGCCCCTGAACATGGTGTGTAGGTATTCTTTTGGCAGACCTGCTTTTTGGGTTCCAGGCTACCTTTCAAGGCCCTTCTGAAGCTTAGAACCCCTCCCTCCGTGGACCAAGTGGCAGCCATTTCGGCTCCTGTTGCCTTTCCCCTTTTGGGGAGGCAGCTGTTCTTTATTTGCCCATTCTTGTAATTCCAGCTCCTTGTTCTCCCTCCATGCACCTCGTGGTTTTGCCGAGCCGATGTTTTTACGCCGCTCCCCGGTTCCGGTTCGATCCATAGGTACGTGCGCTCGGAGAAAGAGCTGGGGGGCCAGGGCATCTCGGCGAGGCCAACGCTTTGGACTTTTGGACCTCTGTTTTTGATTTTCCCATTTGTCCTCTGGTTTCCTCTTTGAAGCCAACCTGAACGTTTCCCTGCATTTGAACACGGCTTGGTTTCCTTTTGTTTGCCCTTTGAGGGTTCCCCACTTTTGGTTGGGGGGAAGCAAATGGAATTCATTTTTCTTGGTCCTTCCCTTGATTTAAGGGGTCAAATGCCTTTGTGGATGGAACATCAGATTGGCCAACCCATTTTGAAGTTTGTGAACACGGGGCGGGGGGAGGGTTAGGGGGGGCATGAGCGCCGAAAGGGGGGGGAAAGCCGTCAGTCCACTGTTTCAAGGTTCATTTCGAACATGTCGCTTTCACGGCCTGGTTGATGACACGTTTGTCTCTGTGTGTGCCGCGTTTGGATTGCCCACGCCAAAAAGCACGACTACTTTGTGGGCAAAATCAAGCGCAAGGGTCAAGTGCACCAGCCAAAACGCGGAGACACCCGCCTTTGGACCGACCGAATCTCATGCAATTCGGTCGTCGGTCAGCTGGCGTAAGGCCTTCTTTCCCAATTTGCAAGGTGTAGCCTGTCGCCTTGCAAATTAGATAAATTGTGAACGCTGCGCGTGCCCGCCTCGGCCAAGCCGAGTATTCAACTGCAAGCAGCAGAGCTGGTCAAGTGGCGATTCAGGCATGGACAGGTTCTGGTGTCGTAGGACCAATTGATGTCATGGGCCCGCAGGAATCCCCCGAGGCAAGGGCAAGGCGATGCACAAGACAGGGCGAGCTGGGCTGGGCCTTGCTTGGGTTGGTTGGTGGAGGGCCTGGGCTGGGCTGGGATGCGCCTTGCTTGGGTGGTTGGGCTGGGCCTGAGGCGAGTCTCAGACACAAGGCTGGTTTGTCTGACGCGTCGGTTGGGCTGGTGGGTTGCTGGACTGCGTTTTTGGGAACAAGACTTAGCGAGTAAATGGGCATGGAGGTGGACGGTGACAACCCCGAAAATTTCAAGGCCCGCCGGACAGGATCTTGGGGCCAGCAGACATGGAAGGGGAAAAGCAACATTCCCTTTAAAAAGAGATCTGAGCGCCCTTGGTGTCCCTTGGGGCCGAGGTGAATTTCGACTCTGGCCCTGCATTTTTTCCGACATGTTGGCCAAAACCACCTTGCAACGTTTCCGCAACGCACCTCGTTTGTCGGCGAAGCGTGGCCTTGACGACCGACTTCGGACCCCCCAAAATCGCGGTTCCTCGCTCGCCGGAGCTTTGGGCTGACCGAGGCCAGGTGCCGCTGGCGCAGGTCCTCGAGAAGTTGGACCTCCTGGCGAAAGCGGACAGCGGAAAGAAAGCGCCAGCGGTGGGGGTGAAGGGGTTGGGGTTGGTGGGGGTTGGGGTGGGATCAAGAGAATAGAGTTTGGAGTTCTTTGTCTGTTTGACAGCGACATTGTGGGTTTGGGTGCTAGATCACCATATGTGCGCCCTTGCTTTCTTTCGGGAGGGGCTTCCGCTTAAGATCAACTACCCCACACACCCCATTCTTTCCGCGGAAGTCCACATGGATTTTGGTCCGAGGCATCGCACCAACAAATAATCGCAACCCACATTTGCCTCCATGGCAGCTGACAGTATTTCCGCAGCAAATGGATAGGAGACGGACCGCCTCTGCCTATCAACCTACAAAAGCGCTGTGGGCGCACCAGCCCTGATAGTTTTCGTCATGTGCTCAAATGTCGGCTTGTGTTCGCAACAAGTCGCGTGTTTCACTTGGAACAAGTCTCTAAGATTTAGAACTGCCTCCCGATTTCTTGTTTGGTCCAACATGAAGGTTGGACACCACCCAGGAGGGTTGTGACTTTGAAGGCCCATCTCCGCCGCAATGCCTCAGACAGGTTATGAGCGAGCCAGAAGCCCAAAGCAGGCTGACAGTTTGGAGTATTTTTGTTTGTTTCGGCCGTGTCAATTGGCTTTGGCCTGCTCCAGCCCACTCCAGACTCGAACGTAATCAAGTCAAGCCCACTCCAGCCCACCCTAGCCCACCTCAGCCTACTCCAGCCAACTCCACTTTCTCCCACCCCAGCCTCCACTTCAACCCACAGCCTCTCAGCCTCCACTAACCCTCAGCTTCCCAAAAGGCTTAAGCCAAAGCACGCAGCCAGCGGGGCCCCAAGCCGCGGCTTTGCGCCGCGGCTCCATGGCGCTTCGGTGGCTCCTGTTGACGCTGGCCGCGCCCGGAGCCTCAGGGCCTCAGGGCCGCGAGGGCCGCGGGGTCCCGTTGCAACTTGCCCAAGAGGAGTTTCCCCTATCGGTGAATTAAGAGGTTTCTGGCTATGTGGCTTGAGAGTCCATGTTGAATTCTGGGACTTAAGCACTACATT